GAACGACTTCTTATCACCCGCAATCTGATGGAATGGTGGAACGATTTAATCAGACATTGGAGAGGTACCTAGCAAAAGTTGTAGACAATCGGCAACGAGATTGGGACAAGCACATACAACCGTTTTTGTTGTCATATCGAAGTTCTGTTCACGAAAGTACAGCAGTGACACCAGCTTTCGCAAACTTTGGAAGAGAATTACGGCTGCCTGCAGACCTGATCACCGGGATACCACCCGATGCTCCACGCAGTATAACCGATTATGCAAATGACTTGCGGAAAAAAATGAATGACGTTTATGAGCACGTCAGACAATCGGGCCAGCAAATGTCTGAAAAGATGAAAACCCGGTATGACCGCAAAATGAACAACAAAGGGTTCGACGAAGGTTCACTTGTGTGGTTGCACAATCCAGTCCGCAGCAAAGGGAAATCTCCTAAGCTTCAAGCTAAATGGGACGGCCCGTACCGGATTGTAACCAGGATCAACGATGTGACCTACCGGATACAGAAAGGCGCAAGAGGGACTCCTAAGATCGTCCATGTGGATCGCTTGGCGCGTTATTATGGGACCGATAATGCTCGGGACGAGCATGTCTTAGGAGGGGGCAGTGTTGCATGAATAAGTCAACTAGCGCCATCTAGTGTCAGGAACGAGAGCGAGGGGAGCATTGAGAAAATGACATCACAAATCGCTCAACTGACAGCGCCTAGTCGAAACTCGAACGCTCGGTACCTTCCGCGTGTTTACTTGAACATTCTGGATATTTCTTTGCTAATTTAAATATATAGGCGCTGCAAGATGCGATGGAGGCAGTGTTGATTTGGGCGAAACAAGCGAAGCTTCGGAGTGGAATTAAGTGAATTAGTGTGTTTAAATTATTAGTGTTTTAACTTTAATTTGTGTAAAGTAAATTAAAGTGTTAATTTAGGTAATTTTATCGGCAATTTTTATTGTCACGAACCTCAAGCTCGTAACAATATACTCACTCATCTTTGCATTACATTGCATAATATGGCGTATTTGCGCGTATATCTATTAAGTATTAACACATCACATCATGAGAATGTAAGCCTGCAACTGACACAGTACAGAGTCTATTTGTGGTATGCTATGCAGGCCTCGCTCACTTTTCTCTTGTTTTTAATGTTCCGTGGTTACTCCTACTGTAGTGAACCACTAATAAAATGCGCAAGCATTTTGGACTTATTAAACTCTTAAAACTTTGATTAAACTCTCCCTAAATACTCTCGGTCGGTCTTATTAATGTTAATAGCACTGTTAGTATTTCTTTAAAAATGACATTTCCATTTGTCATATTTACTACACATTTTTATATGCAACACGTTACATCATTTTTTATCACGGAAACGCAAACCTTACCTAATAGATTCCGACTAAAATGAATATGCTAATTACTATGAAGCACAAATACGCCTCTACATTTTGGAACCACAAAATGTATTTATCTGTATCTTTAGACATCGCATGTATACAGAAACATTGAAATAAGTACGGAGCCATGTGGTCAGAATACCTCTACACAATACTGTTGCGCGGCTAAGCTGACATCTGGCACTAGCGCCATCTAGTGTCGGGTAACGGAGCGAGGGGAGAGCTTTCCAGAAAATGACATCACTAATCTTTCAACCGACTGCGCCATCTGTTGTCGAAACGAAGAACTAAGCTTCTGGAAGCTGACTCTCGAACTTTCGGCGCTTTGTCGATTGGTGCGCGTATTTACTTGAATGTTCTGGATGATTCGGTACTAATGTGTATTTATAGGCGTTGCAAGGTGCGATCGGTGAAGTATTAAATTCGGCGAGACAAGCGAAGCTTCGGAGCGGAATAAAGTGAATCAGTGTGATTAATTATTAGTGTTTTTAACTTTAAATAGTGTAAAGTGAATTCAAGTGTTAATTTAGGTAATTCTATGTTTTTTGTGTAGTCGCTGGGAGAAGGGGGGATTGGAGAGACGGACCAAAGAAGATTTGGTGGTGCAACGCCGCAGACGTCGGAGGGCCAGCCGCCGGCTACAGGCCCGTCAGTAGCTCCTACATCTGCAGCACCTGACTTAGGTGCTCTGATGGTGATGCTGCAGGAGCAGGCTCGCCGACAGGAGGAGCAGGCCCGTTGGTTGAAAGAGCAGCAAGAAGAACAGGCCCTCGCCGACAGGAGGAACAGGCGCGCCGACAGGAGGAACAGGTCCGTCAGTTGAAAGAACAGCTGCGGGACGGATAGGATGAACAGACCCGCCGACAAGAGGAACAGGCACGTCGGTTGGAAGAGCAGATGCTCCTTATGAAGGACCTTCACGCTACCTTCGGAAAGGAGATGAAGGAGGTGAAGGATAGGGTTGCTCGACATGACAACCGCCTGTCAGAAGCTTGAACCCGAATTGAGAAATCTGAAACCCGAATCGACCAAGTGAACAATCGGGTTGACAACGTGATGGCTGACGTGAAGAAAATGCTGGACGTCCTCAAACTTGGGGATGGAACAACAGTTCCCGTAGTAGCTACTACACCTTCGCTACGTGGGTTGAAAGTGCCACCGTTCGACGGGACTTTTTCCTGGTCAGCCTACAAAATCCAGTTCGAGGCTGTTATGAAGGCGAACGGCTGGAATAAAAGTCACGCCATGACTGATCTCACACTAGGCCTGCGCGACCAGGTCTTAACAGTTCTGGAAGTTCTCGGTGAGGAAGTGACTTATGAGCAACTCCTTGAGGCATTGGAGGCGAGATATGGTGACGCTCACCTGGAACACGTCTTTCGTGCGCAGCTTAAAGATCGCGTGCAGCGCATCAACGAAAACCTGCAGCAGTGGGCTCTAGAGGTGGAGAAGCTGGTGCGAAAAGCATACCGGTCTGTACCTGCGCTCATTGAAGGGAACCTGGTGCAGACATTCATCGACGGCATCCGCGACCTGGAAGTCAGAGCTGCTGTGAGCCTTGAGCACCACGAGACGCTTAAGGACGCCTTGGCCCATGCACTGGAGATGGAAGCCGTGCGGCAGGATCATCGTTCCCATCGCGTCAGGGAGGTTGCAGCAGCTACTGTTCGCGACTGCAACAAAGGTTACAGCCCTAGGTGCTATGGCTGTGGGGAAAGGGGCCATCTTCGCTCCAGCTGCCCTAAGAGAACCCTAGAAAGGGAAGGTGAACGATCTCAGAAGGGAAGTGCGGCTAACATCACCGCCCAGCAGCAGCCGGGATACGACTTTACTATCGGACATCGCAGCGGGAAATCTCATGGCAACGCAGATGCATTGTCAAGAAGACCTTGTCCTGAAGATTGGAAACATTGTACTAGGCAAAAGAGTAAGGAAGTGGTATCCGTGAGGATGCTCAGGACAGACCACCTCAGCAACGAGTGGAAGGACAGCCTACGACATGCACAGCAGGAAGATCCGGACATCAAGCCGATTCTGGAATGGATGAAGGCCCGTGCTACCAAGCCTAAGTGGAGCGACGTCTCAGCGATGAGTTCGACCACTAGAGGCTATTGGGCCCAGTGGGACAGCTTGCTGATTCAGGATGGAGTCCTGTGCCGTAAATGGGACAATGGTCGAGGAGACAGCTGTCGTTTGCAAATGGTTGTCCCTAAGGCTAAAGTGCCGAATATTCTACAGCTGTGCCATAACGGTCGTTCAAGAGTCCATCTGGGAGTTAAACGAACTCAACTGAAGGTCCGAGAACAGTTTTACTGGGTCCATTATCGTGACGATGTCGAGGGTTGGTGTCGTACATGTACAAGTTATGCGGCCGTGAAGGGACCTCAGACACGTAGTAGAGGAGCATCGAAATTGTACAATGTTGGTGCACCATGGGATAGAACAGCCCTTGACATTGCGGAGCCGTTACAGAAAGGCGCAAGAGGGACTCCTAAGATCGCCCATGTGGATCGCCTGGCGCGTTATTATGGGGCCGATAATGCTCGGGACGAGCATGTCTTAGGAGGGGGCAGTGTTGCGCGGCTAAGCTGACATCTGGCACTAGCGCCATCTAGTGTCGGGTAACGGAGCGAGGGGAGAGCTTTCCAGAAAATGACATCACTAATCTTTCAACCGACAGCGCCATCTGTTGTCGAAACGAAGAACTAAGCTTCTGGAAGCTGACTCTCGAACTTTCGGCGCTTTGTCGATTGGTGCGCGTATTTACTTGAATGTTCTGGATGATTCGGTACTAATGTGTATTTATAGGCGCTGCAAGGTGCGATCGGTGAAGTATTGAATTCGGCGAGACAAGCGAAGCTTCGGAGCGGAATAAAGTGAATCAGTGTGATTAATTATTAGTGTTTTTAACTTTAATTAGTGTAAAGTGAATTAAAGTGTTAATTTTGGTAATTCTATCGGCAATTTTTATTGTCACGAACCTCAAGCTCGTAACAATACCAATACATTTGCACAAAAACAAATACTTAAAAATAGTAGTAACGAGTATCATTACCTCATTTTGTGGATGTCGTAAGAGGTGACTTTAAAGTTCCGATATATGTTGGTATAACCATCTCGTTTATGCCAGTAGATGCTGATGGTTATAGTAAACCATCAGCATCCAAGGTGCGAAATATTTGGTACCGCGATCGTCAATCTGCCTGCCTATCGTGACGATCAAGATTAACTTTCCCAAAAATGAGAGAGGTCTATTTAGTAGTGGAATTTGACGTGCTCTTGATAAAAAAGAATATGTGTGATAGTCGTGTCTCTGTCTCTGACCAGCATTAGCCAGCCTCCGATCTTTTTACATAACCATTATATCAGGATCAGGTTAGTACAAGGGTCTCTGCGTTAATGCTAAAACATGTTTAGCTTTTTTAATTCAATTATATTATTCTTAAAAACCTTTGTTTACGCTCTAATGGCGTATTGACTATCGCAGTATCGATATAATTCACCACAATCCGAATTCCTATTGCAAAGTAGTAAGAATTAAAAATATCTTAATATATAAACGCGCTCCATGATCAATGTTTTTACGAGTACAAATGTTATACTTACATCCTTCTATTAGATCCGTTACATCCAGTAGAGGTGAAGGTTGTACGCGTTCGTATAATTTATACTGTTTCCCGAATCGGGGCATTTGTATTATTAGTGTAGAAGGCACCTGCAACAAGAATATTTTAATTGTGTTCATTAGTTATGGTGTTGCCACGTAGGGCTTAAATAATCCGGCTCTCTTGTTCGTCCAGTTGTGTCGCAAGAGGCGTCTTTGAAAAAGAAGATCTCTGATGGATGTAATATACTATCTAATGATTTGCAAGGTGTAACATACTGGGAACAGTGATGCTTTCGGCGGCAGAGTCATAGACAAGATCCGCCAATTGGTCGGGAAGGCTAGTACTTTCGGGTGCACGTTTTTTATGGCCTCATAGGGTCCGTTGCGCAGGTGGAGACCGAGACCTATTAGAAAGTGTTCCAGCACATCTTGGCTGAGGAGATGAATCCTCCTCCTCCGAGGGATCGCCAAGAGGCGGCTGCCGTTGGTGAGACTGCAGCTTCGTGCGAAAGTCTTCCCTGCGTATATGCGGTGCAGGGTGGAACAGCATGAAGTTGAAGTTGGTATGAGTCCGACATAACCTTGCGCCTACGAGTCGGGTATGCGAGGCGAGCATTTCCCAATGAAAAAAATTGTGCGGTCCGAAGACCCCCGTCGGGAACAAATTTCCTTACGTTATTTCAACTCTAAATGTGATTTAATAACTAAACTTTTTTATTTTTTATTTAATTTAAATAAAATAAAATTATTATTATTAATCTCGATACTCGCACGAACACGTACATATATACGTTTTATGCACATTTAGGATTTACCTGATACTATACTGAATTATAAATAAATAAATTTATTACCTCACTTAGCTTAACCCCAGATGTAGCAAATGACTGTTCCAAAAGTTGTTGCACACTGGGCAGTGTAACCTGTTCATCTTTTTCTACAAACAGTTGATAACAGTAAGCTTCTTGCCCCGACGACAATTTGAGGAATGGTTCTGCTCGTAACAATTGCGCTACAAGACCGTTTAAAAATTCTTCTGGATCCTGGAACATTGTACGTATACTATTTATTATACTTATAATTTGTCACATTCAAAAGATTTTCATGTAATTTATTTATAAAACATAGTTTTTCTTATGCTTTGCTATTGACGGTTTAATTTGGTAACATAAACCTGGGATTCAGCTTAAACAAAAGTTTGATTAGAATTAATATCTCAGAAAAAATAAATTTCATACCGTGTTCTGAACGCAATTGAATCGGTTTATTTTGCATATAATGCCCGTAAACCCAAAACTACTACTGATTGAGTTACTATTAGTTAATAAAAATAAAGTATAAATATAAAAAGGTATGTAGTTAATTTCATAAGAATAACATTAAAGTATAAAAAAAGTAAAAATTACAAATGGAGTTAATTCCATAAGAATAACATTATGAAGATATAATATTGTAACAGAACTAATTGTGATGATTTCTTAAATTTACGCGAACACTACACATTGAATAAAACTAATTTTTAATTCCCGACGTTTCGGGTGCTTTACAACAATCATGGTCACGGGGGGGACTGAGATGTTTAACGTTCCAATGTCATTGTTAGCCCGGCTACCTTCAGTTTTTGAATATTAATTTTTGGTCCGATTTACGCAAAACGAACTTACAGTATCTTGAAGTCTTGCGTGTCTTGCGTCTTGCGTGATATGCTTGGGTTTGGGTTTAATTTTGTTAATTATAGGATCCCAAGCAGATGGCAGCACCCAACCATCTTCGTTCATTTAAATATCGGTTGGTATGGGTCTTTTTACTGTGTATAGAAAAAAGACCCATACCAACCGATATTTAAATGGTGAATCTCACCATCATCCTTCACAGTTAGCTACCGTGGGTAAATCTTTGTATCAGAGAGCACGAGGGATCTGTGACAGAAAACATCTGGCCGCCGAGCTGCAGCATGTCAAGCAAGTGTTGCAAGACAACAAGCCTCGGATCCCGCGCCTACGTCACAGTGACCGAGTGAAGCCGGCCACAGTCGAGCGTGTGCCTGCTGTACTACCATATGTCAGAGGAGTCACGGACAAGGTTGGCTACATCTTGAAGCGAGCTTCCATTAAAACATACTACAAGCCGCCAAAGAAGATTAGTAAATTTTTACCATCCGTCAGGTGTAATACCCCTCTACAAGATGCAGGAGTGTACAAGTTAGATTGTGAATGTGGTCTCTCTTACATAGGTTAAACAAAAAGATCCATAAAAACCCGCGTGAAAGAACATATAGCTGACGTGAAGCACCGACGCTCCGGGAAGTCTGCAGTCTGTGAACATGTTCAAGATCGTCCCCACCATTACATCAGATTTGATAAACCACAAATCCTCGCAAAAGAATACCGATTCCTACCAAGGATGATACGCGAGGCTATTGAAATTAAAAAACATCCTAATTTCAATAGAGAAGATGGATGGGTGCTGCCATCTGCTTGGGATCCTATAATTAACAAAATCAAACCCAAACCCAAGCATACCACTGCAAGACTTCAAGACACTGTAAGTTCGTTTTGCGTAAATCGAACCAAAAATTATCAAAAACTGAAGGTTGCCGGGCTAACAATGACATTGGGACGTGTCAGTGCGGCGTGCGGTGCGCTTTACCTTCTCCTCGCAGGTGAGGCCGGGCACGTCGGAGAGCTGCTCGAGTAGCGTGCGCAGGCGCATGAGGCGGTCAGCGCGCACGTAGCCGTGTGCGGTGTGTAGTGTGCGGTGCGCGTTACCTTCTTCTCGCAGGTGAGGCCGGGCACGTCGGAGAGCTGCTCGAGGAGCGTGCGCAGGCGCATGAGGCGGTCGGCGCGCACGTAGCCGTGTGCGGTGTGTAGTGTGCGGTGCGCGTTACCTTCTTCTCGCAGGTGAAGCCGGGCATGTCGGAGAGCCGCTCGAGCAGCGTGCGCAGGCGCATGAGGCGGTCGGCGCGCACGTAGCCGTGTGCAGTGTGCAGTGGGCGGTACGCGTTACCTTCTCCTTGCAGGTGAGGCCGGGCATTGTCGGAGAGCCGCTCGAGCAGCGTGCGCTGGCGCATGAGGCGGTCGGCGCGCACGTAGCCGTGTGTGGTGGGGTGTGCGCGTTACCTTCTCCTCGCAGGTGAAGCCGGGCATGTCGGAGAGCCGCTCGAGCAGTGTGCGCAGGCGCATGAGGCGGTCGGTGCGCAAGTAGCCGTGTGCAGTGTGCAGTGGGCGGTACGCGTTACCTTCTCCTTGCAGGTGAGGCCGGGCATGTTGGAGAGCCGCTCGAGCATCGTGCGCTGGCGCATGAGATGGTCGGTGCACACGTAGGCGTGTGCGGTGGGCGACGGGCGGTGCGCGTTACCTTCTCGTCGCAGGTGAGGCCGGGCACGTCGGAGAGCCGTTCGAGCAGTGTGCGCAGGCGCATGAGGCGGTCGGCGCGCACGTAGCCGTGTGCAGTGTGCAGTGGGCGGTACGCGTTACCTTCTCCTTGCAGGTGAGGCCGGGTATGTTGGAGAGCCGCTCGAGCAGCGTGCGCTGGCGCATGAGACGGTCGGCGCACACGTAGGCGTGTGCGGTGGGCGATGGGCGGTGCGCGTTACCTTCTCCTCGCAGGTGAGGCCGGGCACGTCGGAGAGCCGTTCGAGCAGCGTGCGCAGGCGCATGAGGCGGTCAGCGCGCACATAGCCGTGCCGTCGCAACGGGTTCACCACCTCCTCTCGCAGCACGCGCTGCACCTCCGCGTAGTGCACAGAGTCCTGCGCACCGGACATTACTTTTATTCCCAGCTATGTGGAAACGCGACTAAATTGAACGTATACAGGGTTATTTTTCGAAGAGTAGCCAAATTTTAAACTAAAGTTGGAATATAAAAATAATTATATAGGGTAGTTGGACCAATACATGAACGGTTAGGCGGAATTAAATTTGTTTTATTTTTTATAAAATCTCCTATACAATGAGTAATCAATGTTTTTGGTTGTATAATTAGATAGACATGTGGTACATTAAGTAGTTAGACTGTTTTTACTCTAAATTACTAAAATTAAAATTGCGAAGATATAAAAAAAAGTATCTTTGGCCCCAATTGTGAACGTTTTGGAACCAATTCTGAACAAAATCATTATTTACGAAACCTATGAACTAAGAAAATGAAAGACATAATTCTATATAAAAATATTATATTAACTAAGCATGATTGCGCTTACTTACCTATGTAAATAAGTATCCTGAGGTATATCACCTCAGACATTATTATCACAGTTATGAATTTTCTTGTGTAGTTACTAAAATAATTAAAAGAAAACAAGTGAAAATACATCTAAGGGTTATTTTGATACAGGAGTTTGAGACTATAAATTAAACTTTTGACTGACAGTAATACTAAATAATCTAAAACATTAACAATTAGTCTGCACATAATACTTATTTATCTTAATTTTAACGGTTTAAAAGTAACATATAGTTCACGAAATAATTCAAACCTAAATATGGTACTTTAAAAAAAACATAAAATATTATCTAAGAAACCTAAGTTTTAATATCTAGTATATATCATAACCATTAGTTACGTCATATCTTATATATTTTATCTGTGTAAAAGTAAATTTTGTATCTAGTCTATATAAATGCACAAAAGTGGGTAGGTCAGGTACATATATTTTGGATCTTTGACGATTCATTTATAAACGATACTACAGGTAGGTAAACGTATAAGTATATCTAATTGAGGCGTGCGTCCCCCCAGAAAGCCCAATCGAGCTAGGTGTATTTTCAATATATCAGAATTTAGAGCAAAAATGGAGCACCTCTACAGTCAAGTAAATAAATTGGAGCATTAATACGAACGACGCTGCGAGCTAAAAACCTTGGGCTTGCTGCGTCCTGTCCTGTCAGCACGCCCAAGCTAGATCTCGGAAACCGTTGAGAGTACTATCGTGTATTGTAGTTCAAATTATTGAGCAAAATTGGAGCACTCTGCTCCCGTGAAATCAACTTCGAAACTAGAATGTGAAAGGAGTTAGACGTGATTAACCGGTGGGCTTGCTGGCGTCCTGTCCCGTCAGCAAGCCCACGCAGATCTCTGAAACGGTAATGATTTGGATTATGATTAAAAACTCTACAGATGAGCCCTATTTAGAGCACTCTGCTCCAAAAAAATATTAATGTAGCTTCAATAGTTCTCGAGTTACAGGCCTTTGAAAACGTGCTTGCTGGCGTCGCGTCCCGTCAGCAAGCCCATTTGGAGCGTGGAAACTACTGAACGGAGAGTCGTCAAAAATATCTCAAATCGTAGCTTTTTTTTTTTTTTTTTTTTTTTTTTATTTGTTTTTTTTTTTAATTTTTTTTTTTTTTCTGGTTTTTTTTTTTAAAAATTTCTTTCTTAAAAATTTTTTTTTTAAAAAGTTTTTTGTTTTTTTGTGTATATTTTAATTGGGTTATTTTTTTTTTATTTTAAAAATATGGACTATTTTTTAGAGTGGGTGGTTTTTATAAAAATTTGAAAGATTTCGTTTTTTTAACCGTTTTTTTTGCTTTTTTGGCCTGTTTTTTTTTTTTTGCTTCTGCTCTGTAGAGTTTTTAATCATAATCCAAATCATTACCGTTTCAGAGATCTGCGTGGGCTTGCTGACGGGACAGGACGCCAGCAAGCCCACCGGTTAATCACGTCTAACTCCTTTCACATTCTAGTTTCGAAGTTGATTTCACGGGAGCAGAGTGCTCCAATTTTGCTTGAAAATTTGAACCACAATACACGATAGTACTCTCAACGGTTTCCGAGATCTAGCTTGGGCGTGCTGACAGGACAGGACGCCAGCAAGCCCAAGGTTTTTAGCTCGCAGCGTCGTTCGTATTAATGCTCCAATTTATTTACTTGACTGTAGAGGTGCTCCATTTTTGCTCTAAATTCTGATATATTGAAAATACACCGAGCTCGATTGGGCTTTCTGGGGGGACGCACGCCTAATTGAGTACTTTAATTTAATTCAGGCTTTGCCTAACTAATCAAATTTTGAAATGATGTCTACTAATATTATTCTTGATTCCTATTCTACTAACAGCAAATCTAATGCAATTTTTTCATTGTCAAGTATATACAATATGTAACGTAATTAACGCACACCCTCAGACACCCCAATTAGTATATTATGTTATAATCATAATACATACACTGAATTTTTAGTTAAACATTTTTATGCACTGATTATTTATCAAATTAGTTATACTAATTCCGGAAGAATGTTGTGGTCACAGTACAAATCCACGGACGCAAAGACTTTAACGTACTTGAAATAAAGTTCATTTTTCTTTATTTTTATTGAATGACAGAATTAGTAATAATACAAATAAAACTGCACTCTTAAAAGTCTTATTACCTTAAGTTAAGGTCCATTTCAGTTTGTTTTGACTATTCAGATTTAGTGCGACTGTGATTTACGTAGTTTTAATAATTTTTGGGATAAAAATTACCTATATTAAAAATGATAGGAATCGATTCAGTAAACGATTCTGAACAAACTACTTTCTCAAAGTGCGTTAATTATGTTACATGTTGTATATATATATATATATATATATATACCAATCTCACTGACATGTTACATCTGGATCCACAAAATACAATTTATTGTCCAATTTGCTAGACTTTTTGCGCGGATAATCAACTTTTATTTTGTTGTCTTTATTGTTGAACTTTGAAACCACGCTCACATAATGCCTTGGTCGTTTATTGGTTTCATATGTGACATATACAAAATCACCAACAGTAACTTCACCAGAATTAAAATTATTTCAATTTATTTCACCTGCAATTTTCTCTGTTTTAGTCTTTGTTTTTGTTTAAATATCATTTATATTTCAGGTTTCTTTTGCAGTTTATTCCTATTTTGTTCTAACTTGATGTTTTTTTTTTCGTTTCTCTTTCTATTTTTCGTTTTTGTTTAGCTTCTTCTTATTCCTTCTTTTCACGCTCTTTTTCAGCCATAAACATAACATAACATAAACACTCACGCCTGTCACCCAGAGGGGTAGGCAGAGACTACAGACTTCCATTTGGCACGATCCTGACACACCTCTCTCGCCTCCTTCACATCCATACACCTACGCATACATGCTCGTCGGTTGAGGGTACTCCTAATTTGGCCCGTTTTCAATAAATCGCCAATTTGGTCGATAAATTTTCGCCTAGGACGTCCCTTTCCGACTCTGCCATTCACTTCTGCGACATAAATTTTCTTTGTCACTCTTTCCTCATTCATTCTTTCCAGATGACCAAACCACCGAAGCATTCCTTTCTTAAGCCTGGTCACAACATCATCTTGCAAATATTTTTCATCCATGTATTCTTTAAAACGTTTCGATGTTATTGTTAATGGCATTGGCGACTGCCGCTTGTTTGTTTTTATTTGCTGAAGCTTTACTGACAAACTTTGGAACGGGAAAAAATCAATCATCAAATAAGACCAAATCAATATTGGTCTTACTACTTACTGTATTTACTGATTTAGGCTGACTAAATGTTTCTGATGATGAAGTACTTGGCATAGAATTCAAACTTAAGGTGTGTACAGCAGGAGCAATCGGTATGTCTTTATTAACACTAACAGATCGTGTGTACCATGGCATTGGGTGCGTTTGGCAAAAAAAACCCTAGTAAGCGCTTGCAAGCAAAATGGCAATCGTAAGCGGTAAGCGCTGTCTAGGACACGAAGTTAGTTTTGACCTAACCTAATTTAAATATATGTTTGTAAATTATTCATATTAAAAACTTACCAATCATGAAATTTTAATAACATGTATATTATATGTCTATTCATGTCATTATATTACTTAAAACTAATATTCCACAAAACAACTTATAAACTCTACTTCAAAACAAACAAATTAAATAAGCAAAATAGCGGATTGTATCACCGCTACTGAAGTTAGCAAACGTGTCCTGGCCGAAAACTGTTTAGTTTCGCCATTTTGCTTACAATCGCTTGCTAGCACTTTTTTCTGCCAAACGGACCCAATGGTATAGCATATACATCTCCGGCGTCAGTAAGTGACTTGTTGTTGATCGAGGCATTATTTCTATTCGAAGTTATTTCAAGGATGTTTTTTTTTCGCAATTTGAGATGCAGTTTTTTCAATCTGCACTGTGACACAAGCTTGAGTTCAGCCTTCCTGCTTTTCCCGACTTGGGTTAGTGCTTTCATTGAAGTCATGGGGGGTCGAAATAATTGGTGGTGATCCCAGCATACTGATATTACCCATCGAACTGTGCACAACTCCGTCAATGTATCTATGATATCAATATTTAGATCCTCGATTAAAGCTTCTTCTGTAACATTTTGTGCAGGGTGTGTATTGTTGATGCTTCTCTCAACTGCATCGCCATCGACCGCGACTTCCAATCTAGAGACTTGTTCGCTCGAAAGTGAAGGAGAATTTTGATTACTAAGGTATTCAACTTCTTCCTTGCACTTATTCCAGACCTTAAACTATGTTCATAGTTCTGTTTTTTTCTAGCTTCAACAAAATCTTCTTTCAACTCTGGTCCAATTTCGTTTTCCAGTACTTTTATAGTGGAAAAATAGACATCAATATTGACAGCATGGGTTATCTTCTTGTTCCGGATTTCTTTCAACCTATTCGCCATGCATTTTGTGCAATCCACTGCGTTTTTGTCAAACGAAAAGAGTCCACATCTGCGAAAACAATTCTTGATGATAGTCGGATAAAACGATTTCTCAAACCATTTTGCATAAAGCGCCCGGAACGCGACTTTTGTGACATCTTCTCGTTATTGCACTTTCACTGCTTTGAAGATTGATACATCGCATGACTGTATCAACTGTGTAGCATTTGGATGTAGACAAAACAGAATAATTTTATTTTCTGCGCAAAACTCGTGGAGTGACAAATGGATACCCTAAACTAGATTTATTTAAGATCCATTGTTCTAGTTTTAACTCCCCGTCATCGTAAAAACGTTTTTGGTCCTTTTTTTGCAACTACTGGTATTTTGCCATTTATTGTGTAATGTCCCTTTGGGTATCCGGTATATTTTACTAGCCTTGCTTAAGGATATTTGATTTTGCTTTATAAGTTTTAGCACGCGCTCTAACAGTGCTTGAGTATAATTTTTCTTAGTCATCATCTGAAACATTTAAAATAGGTATTTACTACCTACATAATCGATCTCAATTAAGTCTACTTAGATGAGGAGACTAGCATTTTGGGAGCACATTTATCAAATATTGATTTGAATCCGTTGAACTATTTAATGTCGTTATCATTTTAATAATTTATCAATTTAGAACTAAAACCATTTAAAATGCAGGTTATTATTTCACTACTGAACCCTATTTGAACTATTAATATCAAAACAACAGTTTGTTAGACCGTTGGCCTGTTTTGATAGTAAATTGGTTTACTTTTAATCACGAAGGACCCTAATAAAATTACACAACAATTTTATTGACATTGTCAAAACCATTATTAGTTCATAATTAGGTTTTAAAGTCCTAATTATGAACCAATATTATACTTAACTCACAAATGCAACGTTTGGAATAATCATTTTTTATAGAAGTGGGGGCAAACGAGCATGCGGCTCACCTGATGTTAAGTGACTACCGCCGCCCATGAACAACCGCAATACCAGGAAATTACATGTGCGTTGCAGGCCCTTTAGAAAGGAGTAAGCTCTTTTCTTGAAGGTCGTATCGCTCCGGAAAAATCGCCGGTGGTAAACTATTCCACAGAGAGGTCGTACGCGGAAGAAAACTCCTTTTGAAACGTACAGTGGTGGACCGCCAAGCATCCAGATGGTGTGGATGGTATCGGGACGTTTACCGCGTTGTGCGTTCACGAAATTTGGCGGCTGGGATTAATCCGAACAATTCCTCAGAGCACTCCCCATGGTATATGCGAAAGAAAATGCAAAGAGATGCAGCATCTCTCAGTGAATCGAGCCGATCGGAAAGCACTCGGTCGTCGACGATTCGGGCCGCTATGCGCTGGATGCGGTCAAGTGGAAGGAGCTGGTACTGGGGAACCCCAGCCCAGAGATGGGAGCAGTATTCCATGTGCGGCCGAACCTGCGCCTAAAACTCATGAACAGCTGAAGTAATAACATGTCAAAGGAACAATTTTTCTGTAATTAACCTCCGTTCATGTTTTGGTTTATAGCATTAAGTATTCAAAGCAATTAAACATAAAACAGCAATAAAACGTAAAACAACAATTAAAAATCAAAGATACAATCTAGAATATCAAAACAAAATTTACAGGGCAGAGTTAATTCTGTACACTGGTTCACAAACAAGATTTATGTCTCTTTTGTAGACCAGTAATTGAACACTAAATTTCTCTAAAACTTTATTAAAAATAACTTATTTTCTTTGAAAATGCTCTTAATTGCACAGAAACAAATAATTACGGCCTAATAATATCAACAAATCGGCAATCCACTCATAAGCTTAAAAAACCGGTACACTCACCTTAGCCATACAAAATGCGAATTTCCGAAACACGTGTGCACTGCATGAGCTTCTAGAGCGCGACTAACTGTTGCGTAACGGTTTATTGGTTACTAATGAAAGGTTTAATGTTGTCGCTTCAAAAAAATGCCACTACAAGTAAGGCATCACTCAATTCTTAAAAATACACAAATTGTTCGTTTCGTTCAGGGGCTTATATCTATTGGTCCAACTATCCTACCGTTATTACAGTTTTTGAATATACGAGTAAATAATGCTTCTATTTTTATTTGAAAATATCCCAAACTAAATGGGATTTATGGGCAACAACTTTTTTGCTTACCGATCGACCCTTACGAATGTTAAAATAATGCATCACCACGCATTTCGAATTTAAAAGATAAAAAGGACAGAAAGTTCGAGATTTTTTTAAATTAATTTTTCTTCACCATATTTGCCTATATTACTTAATCTGAACCTTCTCTGCAAATTTGGTCGGTTATTGCAAAATAACCCTGTATAGTTTTTGCAAAAACTGGCAGTAAGACCAATTCATATCTTAGATTGTGATGTGTCTTAAAAAAGTTTAAAGAAATAAATATAATAATAACTTTAATAGATTATTTTTAAAAAAATGTGCACATTTACTATTTTGTCACACATTACCTCAGGTTCTGGTGGCCTATACAGCAATGCGTCGAAAACACTTGTAAATGTGAACATAGCAAACAATGTAGCGTCCAAGTAGCAGGAGTTGTGGTGGCCCTGAATGCCGCGGTTCTTGCCCGCCAGATCGCCAAGCGAAGTCAAGGGTGGCACTACTCCGGGAACCACCGGACAATCTGGCTATAAAAATAAGTTAACAATTTTAATAAGCTTACATTTACTGAGTTTATGTTAATACTACTGTAAAGCGGTCGGTGCTGTGTGAGCGATCACCGAGAACTCCAGTTATAACTATTAGCAAATGTACAATTACTTGACACATCAAATGTATTAGCCTTTACGTATTTATTACCACAGAAGAGGAAAAAGTTACACAATTGAAAATTTTGTCTCTTCATATATAAAAAGCATAACATTTAATACATTTTACATCATCATTATTCTAATCATTAGACTTGCAACGAATATTCGGGTATTATTTGGTGTTTGGCTTATTCGGCTACTTTTATCGTATTCGATCGAATCATGGTCTGGATATCAATATCAAAGTACTTTTCGGTCGAATACCGAATACTTAGTCAGGTAATTGTTAAAATGAAAATATATTTATTTTCTTGTATTCATTAAAGTAGTTAATCACCTTCCATTTTATAAAAAATAAAAAAGAACTATGAGATATATGTCTATCCACTAGAATTATCGTAATTAAAGTGGAAGATAATGGTGCAGAAAGACTAATTTTTGTTTATTTTCAAGGCAGCAGTTTACTCCTTTTCTTCTGGTAGACAATTCCAGGTTCAGAGAATAGACGCTCTGAAGAATAAATCCTACTTCTTTCTCGGTCGAATACTTTTGCTTAATATTCGGCTATTCGGCCAGGAAGTCCGCAGAATATTCGGTATTCGGCGTGTGGCCGAATATACTATTCGTAAGTCTAATAATCATCATTAGCCCGTTAAAGTGCGCTGTGAGAGATGGGCCTCTAGCGTGATAAGAAGGATTTGCCTTAATCAAGGCGTTTTAAGCCATAGTCGCTACGCTTGGTAGGTGCGTTGGCAACTGCAGATTTCTAATATTAAGAGTTATAATAGAGAGCTAACAGCATCGCTTTTATTTTCTGTTTCATTTTTCTTCTGTCACCACTTACGTCACCCACGCCAGGGGTAGTGAACATTTTTACACCGCCACTCATCATCATCATTACAGCCCTTCACAAGTCACTGCTGAACATAGGCCTCCCCCAAGTAATGCCACAAAGCACGGTCCTGAGCCACCTGCATCCATCGACTTTCTGCATATCTTACCAGTTCGTCACTCCATCTAGTGGGGGGTCTCCCTACACTACGCCTACCGGTACGAGGCTGCCACTCGAGAACCTTTCTTCCCCATCGGTTATCGGTTCTTCGAACTATATGACCGGCCCATTGCACTTCAGGTTACTAATCCGTTGGACTATGTCGGTCACTCTGGTTTTACTGCGGATATCCTCATTTCTGAGTCTATCACGTAGAGAAACTCCGAGCATAGCCCTCTCCATAGCTCGCTGAGCGACCTTGAGTGTCCTCATACGGCCAGCAGTGAAGGACCACGTCTCAGATCCGTAAGTCATCACTGGCAACACGCACTGGTTGTACAATCTAGTTTTCAGAGATTGAGGTATACCTGACGAGAAGATGTGTCGTAATTTCCCGAACGCTGCCCAGCCGAGTTGAATCCGTCGATTGACTTCTCGGTCGAAGTTGGACTTACCTAGTCGGACTATTTGTCCCAGGTAAACGTACTCGTCAACTACTTCGAGCATAGTGCTCCCAACAACTACCGGCATAGGTGTGACATGGACATTAAACATGTCTCTGCAGTTGGATAGGTTTCGAGCTCTGGTTCTGTACTCGGATAGCCATCGTAGCCCTACTGTACAAACACTTCAGCACTTCGATATACCGATAGTCAACTTGGCACCGCTGAAGGGACTGTAGCACCGCCCAAATTTCGACTGAATCAAAGGCTTTTTCATAGTTCACATACGCCAGGCAAAGTGTCAGATTGTACTCTTGGGTCTTTTGTACAATCTGCCACAGGGTATGTATGTGGTCTATGGTACTGAAGCCTTTTCGGAAACCGGCTTGTTCGGGAGGCTGGAAGTCGTCAGTGCGTGCGAGACGATTAATGACTCCGAAAGGTAGGGTTGGTTCGTGTCGCCTTTCTTAAAGAACAAGACCACCGCATTTCTGCTCCACGACTCCGGAGTAATGCCACCATGGAGGACGGAATTAAAGAGCTTCTGAAGGACTTCAAGTACCGGTGTTCCACCCGCTTTCAGAAGCTCCGCTGTAATTCCATCCTTGCCTGGGGCCCTGCTGTTTTTAAGTTGCTGGAGAGCCATTCTAATCTCGCCGAGACTGACGTCCGGGATGTCATCGGAATAGTGTCGGATAAGACTTGCTCTTGGATCGTTACTCACACTTGCGTGTGGCTCCAACGATGATGTGTACAGCTGCCCATAGAACCTCTCAATCTCACTCAAAATCTCAGGTGTCCCGGAAACGGTGCTGCCACACTCAGTCTTCAGCTTTGACAGTTGGCTCTTTCTGGCAGACAGATCTCTGGCAAAGACTTTGGAGCCCTGGTTCCGCTCGATCGCTTCTTTATACGAGCAGTATTAAAGTTGCGTAAGTCACCGCCACTACATGGTAAAATTAAATTATTATAAAAACATATATTTTGTAAACTGATTTACCTTCTATGACATGATTCAATTGCTTTTAATGTTATAATCAGATTTTACCCAATAAAAAAACTACGATATGTTATAATTAATATAATGTCGTTATTTGTACTATAACTTATAAGCGCTATTTTCGCTTTGTGTTATACTGACAGTACAGGCTCGAAGAGCCGCCATTTCTAATTACCACGTTTTTATTAATTCACTTTCTTGTCTGTTTTGTACAAACATTGCAACTGATATTAAACTAACTTCCAGATGAGTTAGATACTTGCATAATATTAAGTCACCAGTTCTGTCTATCTGTTTGTTTGTCTGTTTAGTCTTGCCGATGAGGTAGCGATTTGAAACTTTGAATATAGCTCAGGACTAGAAAGTACGGGTAATAATAGTAAATACACTAAAGGGTTTCATTCCTCCTGTTGTAATACGCGTAACTGTATCCATAACTGGCCACAAACATTAGTAAAAACCTTATTAAAAGTTTTGGGATGTTTTTTTTTTTCATATAATTATTGCGTAATGTTGCGTTCTTTCAACTGCGAAAAAATTTGCCAATTTTTGAATTTGAGATTAAATCCATGAATGCCTTACTTATCGTGTTAAGTGTGAATTTTTACTAAAATTAAACTAAGAATGCCAGATCTAAACGCCACTCAGGCTGTTAGAGCTGTTACTTTAATTGAAACTGGGCACACCAACAATAAAGTGGTCCAAGCATTACGAGTACCTATCAAAATCTAATACACCAAGTTGTCCAGAGGTATCGGCAGACAGAACAATATGCGAGACTTGCAGAACAGGGACGTAAACGGAAAACTGGCCAGAGATGATCGGTTCCTTGTTACCAGCATGCTTAGAGACTGGACCTTAACTTCTTCTCAAGTAAAGGTAAAGCTCCAAGAAGTTTGAAGGGTTATAGTAAGCACAAAAACTGTGAGTAAAAGACTGAAATCAGCCGGAATAAATTCACAGTTGCTTGTCAAAGACGAACGACGACGTTCTTGCCACATGTCATCGAGTAACTCAAGTTAATATTGCTCGCAATCACGAAAATTGGAATGACGATGCTTGGAGTCAAGTTCTAATGAGTCCAGGTTATGTCTAAAGCTAGATGATGGAAGTATTAAATTGTGGAGACGACCGCCGGAGGTACGCTCAGTGCAATGTTTCTTTCCTATGAAATTTTTCTTTTTTTTTTAAACTTCGTAAAATTTTTCTATTAAATCTTTTGTTTTTTCGACGTTGAATGAATTAACTTAACTGTCACAAATAAATAAATTCATGATGTTTTGTTTTACCTATGCACATTTTTTATTTCGTTCTTCTAAATTTGTCCATGGGTGTATAATAGTCGATTCTGTTCTGTCGTATGAAAGTACCTGATCATCGAAGTGTTGTGCGCGGTGCAGGTGGGCGCGGTCGGGGGGCGGGGTGTCGCGGAAGCGTGAGTCGCGACGGCACAGCGCCAGCGGTACGAACAGCGCGCGCCCCGCCGCGCACGTGAACAGCTGCGCGCCCCCGCGGCTGCCGTCGCCCAGCCCGCACATGCTCTGCTCCAACTCCACGCCCGCCGTCGCCGTGTCTGAGAGTGAAACAATGTCCCGTGTTCTCTTTAATTCATAAATTCATGTCGAGTTACATTAAATAATTTCATAGAGCAACACGGGCCACCGGCGCATCGGAGTGGAGTAGCCATACGTAGGCTTTACCCTATGTTAAAGTGAAGTCCTCGCGGTGCTATGCGTACAAAAAAACTAGACAGCCGCATTGCTCACTATCACTAGACTAAATCTAGTCACGCGGCTGGATCAACGTCAAACAAAAATTTTGTTCAGAATTTTGCTACAAAAAGAGACCTGCTACGGCAAATTTACATAAATTAAAAAACCTTTCATATATAAGTAATTTTTGATCACATTATTGCTATTTACTTCTTTTTAAAATTAAAAATTACAGTAATAACGGTCGCATTGTTTCGGATTTGTGTACAAGCACAAGCCGCTCGCTCTGATACAATATGCAGATCGGTCGAGCGACTTATCCCAGTCTGTACATGAGATGTCATTTTCACCGAGTAATACTGTTAATATATTATATATAACGTATCTATGTGTATGTGTGAAATTGTTAGCCTATTATTTAAATTGTTATGTGTGAGTTTTGTAGTGACAGACGATTGTTTTTGAATGCGCAGATTCGCCCCGCAAAATATCACAGACAGTTTTGTATCGGGAAAAACGCTACGGCTACTCCCCTCCAGTCCGCCGGTGGCCCTTGTTGTTCTATAGAATAGTTTTAATGAAGTTTTGAACACATTTGATTATCTCATAGGAAGCATATTTGCCATAGTTGCCAAGCTTGGAAACCCGCAATTTTTTTTATTTTTAGTCGATATTAGGAAGATTTGTTTTCCTCCGTCGCCTCTAACGACACCCACAGGGTGATATGGGACAGTGAATATACTTACACCGACACTACACGGGATAAAGGTAAATATAATGTGTAGAATAGACTTGCAACGAATGGTATAATCTATTCGGCCATACGCCAAATACCAAATATTCTGCAGACCTCCTGACCGAATAGCCGAATATTAGGCAAAAGTATTCGGCCAGGAAGGGACTAGTGTTTATTGTTCAGAGCGTCTATTCTCTGGACCTGGGATTGTCTACTAGAAGAAAAAGAGTAAAGTAAGACTAATTTTTATTCATTTTCATGCAGTAGTTTACTGCCTGACAATGAATAAAAATTAGTCTTTCTGTTTCATTATCTTCCACTTTAATTACGATAATTCGAGTGCATAAACATTTATCCGAAAGATTTTTTTTAATTTTTAAAAGTTGATTTTGTACCTATGATTACAAGAAAAATACTACTAAATTATTACTAGAAGAAATATAATAATAAAATAAATGAATATTTTCAATTTACCAATTATCTTACTACAATAAAACCTTTTACTTAAGTATTCGGTATTCGGCCAAGTAGTATCTAGATATTAGGCATTCGATCAAATTGGGTAAAAGTAGCCGAATAGGCCAAATACCGAAAAATAGCCGAATATTGGTTGCAAGTCTGGTATAGTAGAATAAAAGCCCCGATTACAAAATGTAAAATCATTTAATGCTTTTCAGATTTTTTTTAAAAAGCATTAAATTTAAAAATATTAAAAGCGAGGCTGAACACCTGACACAACCTTAGGAAGTTTTTTAGGTAGAACTGTCCAGCAAATGTGTATGAAAATGTTTAGCATTGAACTGTATGTGGGAAGATGAAATACAATATGGTTTTCTTCACTTCATCCGCATTTATAATAAACTATACTGGATACAGGCCGTTACAACACACAAAATGAAATGAATTTATTGAACTCACCACACTCATCAGGCGGATTGTTGAGTGGAGTGTAGACCCTCGTACCGATTATGATCACGACACAAGCAACGATTTGTGCGGAAATTCATTTCGGAAAATTTGATGGCTATTACGAGTATCATCCGTTATTTAGAAGGGAATTCATACCATACCCAGCAATTTTTTAAAACAATGAAAATTGTGCAAGAGATCATCCCTATAAACTGGGCTTATTATTGATTAAAATATCGTCATTTTCTGTACAAAAGGTATAAGATTTTTTCAGTTTCTTTGAGATACTGTTTTTACACCCGTTAGATAGAACTGAAGGGGTTCAGTTCTTATAGTAGCTAAAGAGTGACTATTAGGCTAAATCATAGAATACTAAAATACACAATACAATTATAGAATGGCTGTCAACCTTGTTTTGTACCGAGGTTCGCCGGGAGCACACATACAAGCAATTACGTCGTATTATCAGTTAGTCACTACTACAAACCGGATTCGCTGTGTTGACAGACGGACTTTAATACATATTTATTTGTAAATATCGTGCAATTTGGCATTTTCTAAATAATTTGCATGCGAAATTTGGAAACGATTGTAACGTCAAAACACATCTCGTGTTGACATTTATACGTGTGAATTGACGTCTTGTAGAATTTTAGTGGCTACACGGGCTCCGCCCACAACCCCGTTCTATTATGTATGTATTATATAGTATTCTATGGGCTAAATGGATGTTAGGAGTTATTTTTAATTAGCATTATATTAATCCACTATAATAGTCCACTAAGCAGACATGGACAAGATCACGTAAATCTAAAATTTGCAACTGAAACATTTTATTTGTTTATCAAACATACCATCAATGATTCCGATCCATCTGACGACGCCATAATAATGTTGATCAACATCTGTGGCGACCTCCACTAGCGAGCCAACACCGATATCTTCCTGTGCATGTAAGGATGAAGATATTGACTCCGGCTGAGCTACTCGTGGTGACCCAAGTGCCGGAGAATCGTATAATTCCCCAGAGGCGTCGCCACTGCATACATCTAAATTAATTTTTTTTTAAATATATCTTACTTTGATAATTATTTCTAACTTATTAACATAAACCATAACACATACTGTCTTCATATTCAAGCACACAAAGTGGTATATCATTGATATCTATGCCTTGGTAATAATATGCATGGGACATACTTCACGCTGAAGCTAGAGAACTAGTGCCAAACAACTACTCGTCTACTGCGCCGGTATAACTAAAATTAGAAATTGGGGAAACTATAATTAGACAACATACAACCGTATGCAGTTAGTGTTATTCTAAACAGTAATGTCCTATGACATGAATCAAAATATTAAATAAAATGTAACTAATAAAGTTGTGTTAAAGTTTTTTTTTGTTTTAACACTAAGTGCAGTAATAATAAAACCCTTCGACAAAATGGTAAGTTGTTTTTAATATTATTTCGTTATCGTTACACAAATAATTTCAATATCAGTTGAGCAATTATCCGAATAAAATTTAATCAAAGGCATAATCGGTCTTTTACAGCTGTTATGGGAGTCATAAGTTCACAATCAATTAAAGATGTGAAAATTTGTTCGGGTGTTTGATATATTTATGTCTAAATCACGCAAAAATTTCTGAACGGATTTTGGTGAAACTTCGCATTATTTGTAAAAAAAAATTGTTTATTGCTTTGACGGATTTTTGTCCAAAGCACAGTACTAAAAGATCACCAATATGATAATACCATTTTTATGCATGCGCTGCGTAAACTATAATAGACAGAACTCTAAAATTTACTAACTTAAGAAGTATATTTGACAAAATATATAAAAAAAATTATAAGTACCTATGTACTCTACTTATATTTTTATACATCTTTTCCAAAAAAGGTATTAGAAAAAATTATAATAGTAGATTGGCCGAGTACATTATAATGATAATTCACGGGTCACCTGAATAATGACGAATATGTAAACACCGATACAAACCGACATCGAGTGGAGAACAGACGAATAGGTACTCGGGCCGAGTAACAAACCCACCCGACCAAGGCGTTAATGTGTTCGTACACGTGGTTATTCATCTGTGCCCTGATTCCTGCTCATTATTCATCAGTACCTGATGGCATACCGCATTTACACAAGCAAGCTCGTGATTCGCCTCGCCATTCGACAAATTGTTTGGCGAGATATGTTTTTTAGAGGATAGGGTGACAAACGAGCACACAGTCCACCTGAGGGTAAGTGGATGCTGTGGCCCATAGACATCTACATGTATCTTCGAATACGAATCAAAATGCAGATGCGTTGTCACCCGTGAGGACTAAGATGGAATGCCTCATTTCCAGTAAAATGGGTGTCCGGTTCTCGACACTCACCATACGAAACACAGCAGCATCAAGCTACCATTTCACGCTGGTATTCTGTGAGAGCGTGGTCCTTCCCCGGTCGAGCCGACCCATTCGTGCTACAACTATACTACTAATATAACTGCAGCATGGCTCTACCACGTACAAGAATTAAAATATTCGTGTAGTTTTAGGCTACACGAGTGACCGTTTACACATTCAGGTCTATTCATTTCTACTTCAGCTTGACGAAGTGGACGACATAAGGCGAAAAGTAGACACTAGACATCAAAGAATTTTTCTTCAATTTTAAATTGTTCACTGGTACTCCCATTAGTTCTGATATAACTAGTCATAACTGTAACTAGCATTGTGTACTTTCTGCTGCATTCTTATGAGGAGCATGTTTTGGATTCCAAATGACTGGCTGACTTTGGTGAAGCTCCAAAAACATAATAACTTTATTGTTGGTATAGTCCACCCTAAGTGTCCCCTAGTGTTAATAATTTATTTGCAACTGTTGGGAAAAACATCGCAGAAAAAAGTATTGTAGAACAACAAGAATTATCACAAATTAACCTTGATACAACAAGAGAATTGTTTGTATTATTATCTACTGATGTGGACGAAGTAGAACGCATTATAATAAATTTAAAAACAAAATGTACAGTTGGTTGGGATAAAATCTCTAATAACTTTCTAAAAACTTTTCTACATATCCTAATCCCACCATTAACTTATATCTTTAATTTATGTTTCGCGAACGGAATATTCCCTAATTATTTAAAAAAATCCATAATTCACCACATATATAAATCTGGAGATAGAGACCGTGTGAATAATTATAGGCCTATTTCTATACTTCCTTCTATTTCAAAAGTATTGGAAAATCTTATTAATATCAGACTTGTAAAATACTTAGAGAACTTTAATATTCTATCAGACTGTCAATTCGGGTTTAGATCCGGAAAATCTACCAATGATGCTGTACACGAATTAACCGATAATATAATCAAAAATCTAGACAAAGGCTACAAAGCTATAAGCTAATAAAACGGTAGGGATTTTTCTGGACCTTGCGAAAGCATTCGATACGGTCTCTATCCCCGTACTGCTAAGGAAACTTGAAAAAATTGGCATACGGGGTACACAACTAAAATTATTTGAAAGCTATCTAACTGGAAGACTACAGTGTGTTACAATAAATAACCAATGTAGCTCTGATGTACCTGTCAGCTACGGAGTTCCTCAGGGGAGTATTCTGGGCCCAATTCTATTCCTCGTCTACATAAATGACCTCTTAAAATTTAAATCCTTCCATGGCAAAATTATATCATATGCTGATGACACAGCACTCCTATTCTCAGCAAGTACATGGAAGGAGGCTTTTGATAACGCTCAAACTGGAATTGATGTTGTCTCAGTATGGTTACGTAGTAACCACCTATCTCTTAATATTGAAAAAACTAAATATATCACCTTTTCCATGACAAATGATCCTCAATCAACTATCAACTATAAGTTAACTGCTCACATTTGTTTAAATTTAACTAAACCTTTAGGATTACCGTGTACCTGCCCATCTTTATTTAAAACCAACTGTGTTAAGTATTTAGGTATTTTTACTTCCCTAAATAACTGAATTACTTCTATAATGTATAATTAATGTACCATTAAATTATATTTTCTTATTATAATTATTACTTTAATGTATACTACTCACCCTCTCCCTCGCATACACACTAAAGCACACACGCGCGCGCGCGCGCACGCGCACGCACACGCACACGCACACGCACACGCACACACACACACACACACTAATTTTAACACACTATAATTTTTATACTTTAAATAATTTTGTGTGATATATGTTTACGTAAGTTTCTTAATCAGAAAGATTTCTGTTAAATTATCCCATCAGAAAGAGCACTGTTGCCTGAGATACAAGCTTATTGCTTAGTTCAGGCGCAGATGCAAATATATGTTGTTAAAAATTTTCCTGAATAAAGAAATTATTATTATTATCGTTATTATTATTATTTAAGTACATACCTATTTACTTGTTTCTCATTATAATGGATTTTTTTATATACAGGTTGGTCCAAAAGGTGACGTCCAAAAATTTTTTTTGGAATGCTGACCTTTCGGGCTACATGAAAATACCCCATGTATGTTCCGCGATTTTTCTTAGTTTAGGAGATATGATTTTTTTTGTATTATTTTGAAAAATGTCGACTTAGCGATTCAAAAATTTTTTTCTTGAAAATTCTGCTCTCTTTTCTACTTTTTTTATTCTTAGCGTAGTCTTCATGAGTTGGACTCTTTGACATAAAAAATAAGCTGCCTACCATTTAATACAAATTGCAAAAATTTTAATCGAAAACAAATTATGCAGATATGATTGAATAAAGTTTAATTTTGAAATTTAAACTAAAAATTAAATAATGAGTTCCATGACTTTAAAGTAATTTTAAAAACTTTGCAAGACCCTAAGCTTTAGTTATAATACAAAAAAAGTGGTGGTCAATGGACCTTTTTTAACTCTAGTCGGCCTTTAATTGCACAGAGCCAAAAAGTTCAAAAATAATCTTTTTATTATGCACCTATTGTTTATTACTAAGGATAATTAGATTTTCATGGTATGTCATAATAATAAATAATAATATAAACAATTTGGTTTTTTAATACTTATTTCATTTTACCAATTCTCAAAGTACCCCCCCCTCCACTTCAATACACAGTCTACAACGCCATAGAAAATTTTGTTTCAGTCTTCTAAAAGCATTTGAATTTTGTCTGATTTTTGTTTCCGCCCCCGTTAATTTATGTCGCAGTTCTGCTTCGGTGTTTGTTTCGCTTGCGTACACCATCTCTTTGTAATATCCCCAGAGAAAGAAATCTATGGGGTTCAAATCTGGTGAACGTGCAGGCCAATGAATCGGTCCGCCACGCCCAATCCATCTATTGGGGAATCTTTGATTAAGGTGCTCCCGTACCTCTCTTGCATAGTGGCAAGGAGCACCATCATTTTGGTAAATCATATCCCTTCTTGTCAATAAGTTTACATCGCCTAATAAGCCGTTTAAATTGTTTTGTAAAAAGTCTAAATATTGGGCTCCGTTTAACCTAGCAGGCAATTCAAAAGGTCCTATAAGTTCCCCGTTCAAAATTCCTGACCACAAGTTTACACTATAATGTGTTTGAAAATTTGAAGGCCTTGCCTTGTGTGGGTTTTCAACAGCCCAACTATGGTAATTGTGGATATTGAAGACTCCTGTTCTTTCAAATCTAGACTCGTCTGTCCACAGAATTTTATCAAAAAAAAACCTGGATCCTCCGCAGTTCTTTCCAGCATTGTTCGACAAAAAGTCACCCGTCTTGAATAATCTGCAGGATGCAATTTTTGGACGCGTTGAATATGATAAGCGTGGTATCCCTCTGAAAAAAAAACGAAATTGTACTTCAAGGAATCACTGTTTTTATTCCATGAAATGTGGTTTTTGCCCGACATAAGTAATTAAAATTAATTGATCGCTCGTCGCTATTCAAAGGTGCGCTTTAATACGGTGTCAAAGTAAAAGTTTTAAAGACAAAATGAACTTACCTGACTTAAGTATCCTTATAACTGAGGTTCGTGGTACACCAGTCGTTCTCGTAATAGCTCTGGTGCTAGTAAAAGGATATCTTTGCACTTGTTCCACGACTCCATCTCTGACATCTGGATCCACTCTGGGTACTCCTTCGTGGGAACTGCGTGCCGGAATTCGTCCGTCCATAAATGTATTATGTGTATTTATGAACACTCTGTGATCGGGATAAAGTTCCCGTTCTTCTCCTCGCCGTTCTAGTTTCTCTCGGTAAAGCCTTGCCGCTAAATGGCCATTGCCTTGGGCAACGCCGTAAAAATAATGCATTTCTGCATATTCCTTCAAAGAATAACTCATTTTGCAACACAAAAATCCAAATCTCAAGGTAATCAATCAAAGTCCGAAACACAAGCACAGTCAAATCAGTTATAAGGCGAAACAGAATCCAGTTAGCAAGCAGTCGTGGTAAATTAGGAAGTATCGAAAACAAAAACTGGAGTAGTAGTTACGCGAGCGATAGCTGCTACCTACGCCTGTCGCCTTATGCGCTATGGCCAGAGCGAGAGAGCGCGCTACACACGACACAGTATTTCTCACTCCTGCTTCCTTTGTTCGACACGTGGTATTTTTTGTGATCTGCAACCGTCTACCTGCCTATTACTATTATTATTCATTATCTCATTAACATTGAGGGGAAATTCGTTGTTTTTTGTGACCCATCTGTGCTACTTACTGAAGTGGTACTATCCCTAACCCGAAGATTTACATTTCATTTTATTTTATTTCATTTCATTAGATTCTATGGCGAACCTAATTATTTTTAGAAATAAGGTGTTTAAATAATAATGTTGAAAATTTTCACCTCTGTGCAATTAGAGGCTGATTACGGCTAAACAAGGCCCATTGACCACCACTTTTTTTTAGATTATAATTAAAGTTTAGGGTCTTGCGAAGTTTTTAAAATCACTTCGTCACACGTCATGGAACTCATTATTTAATTTTTAGTTTAAATTTCAAAATTAAACTTTGATTTAATCATATCTGCACAATTTGTTTTCGATTAAAATTTTTGCAATTTGTATTAATGGTAGGCAGCTTATTTTTTTATGCCAAAGAGTCCAACTCATGAAGACTACGCTAAGAATAAAAAAAGTAGAAAAGAGAGCAGAATTTTCAAGAAAAAAAATTTTTGAATTGCTAAGTCGACATTTTTCAAAATAATACAAAAAAAAATCATATCTCGTAAACTAAGAAAAATCGCGGAACATACATGGGGTATTTTCATGTAGCCCGAAAGGTCAGCATTCCAAAAAAAATTTTTGGACGTCACCTTTTGGACCATCCAGTATAACACAAATTATTAAAAATTACTAGAAGTATACAATGTCGCCCATCGGCAAGTGACCGCCCGGGATATTCTGCATGTACATGAAAAATTATCGGTAAAAAACCTAAAAAGGGGGGGTCTATCTTAAATACTTTTTAAGTTATTGAATTTTTAATTTTTTGAATGATGTTGGTCACCTTGTTCCACACTTTTTGCTCTAGCTCCAATGCTACGGGCACGATTTCGATTCTGTTTTCTTATTTCATCAGGTTAATAAGTTGTTTTGTTGGATTACGTAACATTTTTAGTTAAAATAAGGCGAATCATAAAAATAAACGTAGACAAAGACATTTTTTCTAAGCAAAAAAGTGATATTTATTTACAAAAACACGTGTAAGTACATAAAATGCCCCCTTAACATGGGCTTTTTACTCATTATTAATAATCTAGAGCATAACTACTACACATTTACAATACACTATCAATATCTATCTCTTAAAATTTTTTAATAACAGCGTGTCAAAAATTTGCTCCATATCAAGCAAAAAAAAGGTCATCCAGGTAGAAACCGGTTCTTAGAGACCGCTAGATAACGCACGTGCGCACTCTTCTCGGTTGGTTGTTTGTGCATCATTCAGTCGCTCGATTACTGATCCCGGGACGTTACGTGTTTTTTAATTTGTGCGCTATTTATCTTTTCGAGGACCATTCCTGTGCGTTTCAAGCATCGTAATGCTACGATTGCGTGATTTACCGCCTTCTCACGTAGCTGATATGCATTTTGTATACGGTTTTTGTGATGGGAATGCACGTTCTGCTGTCGAAGAGTACAAACGTCGTTATCCAGGTAGGCCAGTACTTGGGTACCGGTCCTTCATTGCTGTGCATCGTCGTTTTTGTGAGCAAGGACTTCCACGACAAAATGAGCCTGGCGTGGCACTTCACGTGGACATGGAAGAGGAAGTGTTAAGATTGGTGCGCGCTGACCCTATGACAAGCATTCGTCTCTTGTCAATAAGACTGAATGTACCAAGAATAACAATCTGGAGAATTCTTAAGAAAGAAGGCCTCCATCCTTATCACTTCCGGCGTGCTCAACATTTGGAAGATGTGGATTACCGTGCGAGATCTGTGTTTTGTAGCTGGATTTTATCGCAACAAAGAACCAATCCTGAGTTTCTAAAGAAGATTTTGTGGACGGACGAGAGTACATTCACAAGGGCGGGTATTACAAACCACCGAAATCTTCATGTCTGGGCCGCTGAAAACCCACACGTCAGAAGAAAAACATCTTTTCAGAAAGAATTTTCTGTTAATGTATGGGCTGGAATAATTGACAATATGCTCATTGGCCCTTACGTATTGCCTCACAGGCTAGATCAACACGCATATTTAGATTTTCTCCAAAATACGTTGCCCTCACTTTTGGATGAAGTGCCGCTGGCAACGAGAAGAAGAATGCATCTGCAACTAGACGGAGCCCCAGCACATTTCGCACGACTAGTGCGAAATTATCTGAATGAAAATTATCCGCGATGGATCGGTCGAGGAGGCTCCGTTGCTTGGCCGCCGAGATCGCCCGACCTGACACCCTTAGATTTTTATTTATGGGGATTCATGAAACAGAAGGTGTATGCCGCGCGCATTGAAAGCCGCGAACAATTAACGGCTAGGATTTTTGCTGCCGCAGAGGAAATTAAAGAAAATCCTGCAGAATTACTGCGAACAACCAATAGTGTAGCCACGAGGGCTTTTATTTGCTTACAGGAGGGTGGGGGCCATTTTGAAAACTTAATTAATTAAAATTGTTGTTTTTTTTAATCATGCCTGTTATTTTTATTATAAATAGGCATTTCTGCATTAATAGTTTTAACTCTATGTCGCCATGTCGTCCGCATCAATTATTTAAAGGGTGCGCACGTGCGTTATCTATCTACCGGTTTCTAGGAACCGCTCTCTACCTGGATGACGATGATGCACAGCAAGGAGGGACCCGTTTTTGACACGCTGTTATTAAAAAATTTTAAGAGATAGATATTGATAGTGTATTGTAAATGTGTAGTAGTTATGCTCTAGATTATTAATAATGAGTAAAAAGCCCATGTTAAGGGGGCATTTTATGTACTTACACGTGTTTTTGTAAATAAATATCACTTTTTTTGCTTAGAAAAAATGTCTTTGTCTACGTTTATTTTTATGATTCGCCTTATTTTAACTAAAAATGTTACGTAATCCAACAAAACAACTTATTAACCTGATGAAATAAGAAAACAGAATCGAAATCGTGCCCGTAGCATTGGAGCTAGAGCAAAAAGTGTGGAACAAGGTGACCAACATCATTCAAAAAATTAAAAATTCAATAACTTAAAAAGTATTTAAGATAGACCCCCCCTTTTTAGGTTTTTTACCGATAATTTTTCATGTACATGCAGAATATCCCGGGCGGTCACTTGCCGATGGGCGACATTGTATAGAGACGATGGTTTTAATGAAATTTAAAGTACCACAAGATATTTTAAGAAAATTTAGATTTTTAATCATCATCAACATCATTATCTCTACAGCCCTTCACAAGAACACTGCTGAAAATAGGCCTCTTCCAAGGTATGCCACAAAGCACGGTCCTGAGCCACCTGCATCCATCGACTTCCTGCATGTCTTACCAGGTCACCACTCCATCTAGTGAGTGGTCGCCCTACACTTCGCCTACTGGTATGAGGCTGCCACTCGAGAATGTTTTTTCCCCAAATGGTTGTCGGTTCTTCGAGCTAATTTTTAATGATAATTAGTGTTAAATATCTTACCTACTAATATACCTGTCTCAATTTTCTTTGGTTCATGAATCATTTTGGCTTGGGAACAAATCTCTTCAGGTTTTATAGATTTCGCTGTTGTTGCTAATAAAGGTTTATTACGTCTTGATTTGTCAGGTGCTAAATGATCAATAAGGTTTACAGATTTGATTCTTTCATTTTGTGATGAATTCTGCATAGCGTGTCGAAAATTTCTCGGCACAGTCCCATACTGGGCGCATTCAGGCTCACGGGGAGCTGGAGGCCAGCTTCCTCCAATGAGAGAAAAAAGATCCAACTAAAAATAAAAAAGTTTTATTGCCATTCAAATTAAATGTATACTTTCAAAATTCAAGTACATTATTCCTTATTATTTGGTATTTGGCAAACTTGTGTTTTAGTCATCAAAACTAATTTTGGATGGCAAACAAGCACACAATCCACCTGATGGTAACTGGGTGTTGTTGCCAATAGAAATCTACAGATATATTTGACTAATAATCAAATTGCAGATGCTTTGTAAACCCTGAGAAGTAAGATGTCATGCTTTTTCACCAGTAGAAATGGTCCCTTGTTCTAATTACTTGCCCCATAAAACCTTGCAACATTATGCTGTGTGGTCATTCCACGGTCTAGCTCATCCATACATTCTGCAGCCGCAATACAAGCTATACCAAGTACAATAATAGTTTTATTTTAAGCAAAGCGTAAGCAAGTTGTTTTATTTTAAATTATGTTTATAGATATTATAAATAACTAAGCACAAAATGTTTAGGCAATTAATAATACCATTCCAGTTAATATAGTTTTGATACATTTCCAATTATAAATTTACACAACATATAAGCAAACGTTAAAAAAATTAAAAATCTTACATTTATTAAATTAGTTATGACTATAGTTATATATTCACTTCATTTACAAATAAATGTAAGTTTAAGTTCTATTTGTTATATGTATATAAGATTTTAAATTTTTCTAATTATTTTCATACAAATATATTAGTATAAATAGATAGCACATCAATTTCATATGTTACAGGAATAATCATATCAAAAATAGTATTAATATAGTACAAGTTATAAAAAAGTTGTGCTCTGAAAATTCAATATGAAGTTCAATAAGAACTTAATATAGAATTCAATATTTTAAATCTCATATGACATTAGTGCACTACATGGTAAAAGTACCATCAACTATTATGTATGTAACATCATGTGTGCTTGTTATTGTCGTAACTTTACTGTCACAAGAACCTAGTACCACAAAGATAAAATTATTCTATATTTTGCTATTTTGACAAAGCTTTATCAATGTCTAAAAATAAAATTATTTTAAATTCTAACTCTACTGTAAGTGCTTTTTTGTATGTAATGATACTGAATGTCTTTACCAATTGTATAATTTCGGTCTTCTCAATAGTCTCTCAATAATAGTAAAAACAGACTTCAAAAACCTAAAAAAAATTAAATCATTTTCTCATAATGTTTTAATATCACAAAATATGTGGATATTATATAATTATATACCTATGATACTTTTTAGATTTTGTAATGGGTTTTTACTTTTTCTAATTTTAATTATTTATATTCAATTTAACCTGACAAAAACCTAACACTTAGTTGACACCACTGGTACTCTGACATGGCACACATCCACATTTTTACTGTCAATGGGAAGCACCACTGAAATGACATTGTGGACAGTGGACACCAAAGTTATCATATTGTGCAAAAGTGCCCATACTATACTTTATATGTTACCAGTACAAACACAAATATGTTCGTATCCAATATTATTAATAATACACACATATTACATGAATATAAATTAATTAATAACTTAAAACTAGTACATTGGTAATGTCACTTTAACCCTTTCGCTGCTCCACACGTATATATTGAATATATTTCGGCTTAGTTTTAAATTTTATTAATGACTATTTTTATTTATTATTCATGTTTTCTGCTCTATACGATTATTTTTGCTGTTTATAAGGATCTAAGAGCGTTAAATAAATATATACATAAAAATTGATTTACCAATCCACAAAGACATTTAAGTAGTAGTAATAGACCGGACATCAGCAACAAAAATGTCATCTGTAACTTTGTCCTATAGGGTAATATCTCCAATTTTTGTCACTTAGACTTAGTGACATCGTCAGAAGGTCAAGACGCATTTGTTTCATAAAATTAAAAAATATGTTTAGAGAAAATATGCCCAATTGTGCATTACGGTATTTTATATCACAATATGGAGTAAATAAAGAATGTAATTTTGGTTTATTATTGTAAGAATAATGTATATTTACCAAATAATCTTTAAATTTTATTATTTCTAGTAGATTATTCCAGAAGAAACAAAAAAATATTGTAATAAGCGCCTTCTGTTATCCAGGAATGTCACTATTTATTTACAAATAAGTTAGTGATTGACGACATGCCTAAAATGGATTTTATCTTATATTTAGTAGTGTCACCTAATGGGGAATAGCTAAAATGTTTTTCTAATAAATATTCTGCGTAGTATTGCTATGTTTCACTAGAGAACGTAACACACGCGCAAGCTCACGGTTTTTGTATGCAAATGTTCCCAATGTCCGCCCTATAGTATATATATTTAAATCTCTTTGCCAATCCCTTTTAGATATAACATTTAGAAACATGGTGCATAAATATATCCGTGTGATTAGTAATGACCATTATGTAAGGACAACCTGTGTATGTGGATTGAGGCTTGTAGATTCGGGGTCTTGATGAGTTTCATTACTCATTCTGCTTGCTATGTGCTAGAGTCGAGTACATTTGAACAGCTACGTAGCGTGCTAATAATGAAGGACTTTATTTATTACGATTACTGTATATAATATAATATAAATTTATATAATATACATATATTTATAAACTTTAAAAACTGACCTCTTTATTTTACTTATTCTTTTCTCTTTTGCTTATTCCTTCTTACGCAATTGTAGTATTGTAAATGTAGCGATCAAACACAAATAATTAAATGCCTTTTTTACACAAAATTATTATAATCTATTACAGATCAAATAGCAAAAACTTGGCAAAAACATAACAATATTGTAATTACACAGAACACTATTACTCCTATTATTTATCAATCTATCAAATTGTCAACTCAAATATCATTGATTAAACACGTAAACAGAGAGGTCTCTGTCTACGTGATAACGTGATAATGCTATAGACAAAGTGATATCTTTTATCGCAGTCACACAAGAGAAAGAGCAACTTACGCCGATGTGTAAAGAAATGAGAGAAATGAGAACGATGAGATTTTTTGTTTCGCTTAGCGTGTCGCCATTTTTAATATTTAGCAAACCACTTTGCTAAATAAAGTTTGACAGCTAACGTGTAGCGGATTATCATTGGGTGCGTTTGGCAGAAAAAAGCGCTAGCAAGCTTACTAGCGCTAAAATAGTTTTCGGCCAGGACACGATTGCTACTTCAGTAGCGCTGACACAATCCGCCATTTTGCTTATTTAATTTTTTTGTTTTGAAGTAGAGTTTATAAGTTGTTTTTTGCAATATTAGTTTTAAGTAATATAATGACATGAATAGACATATACATGTTATTAAAAATTCATGATTGGTAAGTTTTTAATATGACTACTTCACAAACATGTATTTAAATTAGGTTAGGTTCCCCGGTTGAAAATAACATTTTGCTTACAAGCGCTTGCTAGCGCTTTTTTCTGCCAAACGCACCCATTTCACGTTGTTTGTTGTCACGATTCGCCATTTAAGTCAAGCAAAGGTCCTAGATTATACAACCTAGTCTGGTTTGTACGTCATTTGCATTTTGTGAAGAGTATGTTCACAAAACACCTCACAAAATGCTGACGGGTCACATATATAGCTTTAGTAGATTAATTTGTACTTTCTTATTAGTTATGGCACGTTTACATTATCGGCACAAGCAACTCACCGAGTTATTCGTGGACAAGTACGACGCGTTTACATATTCGTGTGTATTTATTCAACGTAGATCTTTTAAACACGAATGACGTGCGTCTCGTTGTCATGACTTTGTCTACTTGATATTTATAGACTCACAAATATTTATTTGGGGGGTGTGGAGCATCGCCACACTAGATGAAATGACGCGACGAACTGGTAAAACATGCAGGAAGTCGACGGATGCAGAAGGCTCAGAACCGTGCTTTATGGCATTCATTGGGGGAAGCATATTTTCAACAGTGGACTTGTGAAGGGCTATAATGATATACGTTTTTGAAAGGCTATAATGATATGAGGCAATGAGGCTATAAAGATGAAATATGTTTTTCATTAATATTTATTTAAAACTGCTTTCAAGGACCCCATAACACGGGTTCTTCTTGATAAAGATCTATAAAATAGCAGAATCGTCACTACAACCCATCAAAGTAGGTAGGTATTTTTATTTATTTTTTAAATACATGTTTCATAAGGAAAATAACGTTTAAAAAGTTCACGGGTCAAGATTAGAGAAATTTTATCAATAAAATTAACTCCAAACTGTGCCCGCAATGTAACGTGCCAGGCGAAACTGCAAGGAAGACGAAGTTCAATACTGCCAAAATGCTAGCGACAACCACCCGGCGCCCGGCTGGGCACTTGGCACTGCGGTGGCGAACCAACCAACAAGCGACAGCGAGTACTCAGTTATTAAATCAAACAAAACAATCACTGCTGAAGATAGGTCTAAGGGATGCCACAAAGAATCACAGTCCCAAGCTGCCTGCATCCATCAACTTCCTGCAAGTCTTACCAGGTCGTCACTCCAACTATTGCGGGGGTGCCGTACGCTTCGCCTGCCGGTCCAAGTCTGCCACTCGAGAAGCTTTCTTCCCCATCGGTTGTCGGTTCTTCAAGCTATATGGCCAGCCCTTTGACTTTAGCTTACTAATCCGTTGAACTATGTCGGTTGCTCTGATACTACTGCGATTATCCTCGTTTTTAAGGCTATCATGCGAAGAAACTTCGAGCATAGCCCTCTCTATAGCTCACTGAGCGACCTTGAGTTTCATATGACACGCAGTGAAGGACCACGTCTCAGGTCCATAGGTCATCACTAGCAACGCACACTGATTATACAATCTCGTTTTGAGTTTTTGATGTATGCCTGACGAGAAGATGTGTCGTAACCTCCCTAATGCTGCCCAGCTAAGTTAAATCCGTTGATTGACCT